TAGATCCGTGATTCGAGTTGTACGTAGCGTGTTTCTGTGATGAGTTAACTTGTGGTGATCGAATTACATAATTTTTTATTTTTTATTTTTGGGTTTTATATAATTTGCTTACACAAAGGTTTGCATGGGGGTACAAAGTGGTAATGTAATTTGTACTATGTCACGTACGGCTGATTTTAAAGGCTTTGAATTATGAAAAGCAAATCATATTTCAATTATAGAAAATGTGACTGCGAAATTATAAACCTTTTATATTATTATTTTGGTCCAAGGATTTGAGTTCTTTTAATTTATTTTCATTCTTTTTTTTTCGTCTAATTAAATGTTCACATTATTTAGTAAAAGTTACAACAAAAAAACATAAATGGTGAAAATTTAATTTTTTGAAAAGAAAATATATATAGTGATGAGATTAGAATCAAAGCACACAGTTCAAGAAGAGGAAGAGGACAAATATATGAATTGGAAGGGAAAAAAACAATGGAAGTTGGGTAGTGGTCATTCTCGTGAAGGGGACATTGGCATATGTGTTCTTTTTTCTTTAGCATGAACTGACAATTGAAAATGAAATATGATAAGGTATGTTAATATATAATATATGTAAATTTGAACCAATGCCAAAAAAACAATAGTAATAAAATAAAAAAAATCAAACATTACTATAAGCATTTGACATTAATTTAAGTGAATCCTACCTCTCTTAAGAAATAAGTTTGGTTTTTTATGTTAGATTTTTTGTTTTTAATTATTTGCCTTAAGACAATATATAGTATAATCAATCTTGAAAATAAAAGGAGAATAATCAGAGTGGAATTGTTGTTGTATGAAATTTAACAGCTCAAATAAGCAAACAACAGGGTATATTTAAAAGGAAATAAGTGTAAATTTATATATTATTGATCGTTTCACGAAAGTACAGGAGGTCGTTTTTTTGTTCATAACCGAGATGTTTTATAGTCCGTGTACAATGTGCGAAAAAAAGGATCCCCGTACAGTAATAAATTCTGCTATTTATAGTACAGTGATTTTGTCTTCTTGTCCGAGGTAGATCATATCGCATTTAATATTGAGCAGCTTCAATAATGCGGCGTGTAATGTAATGAGGGAACATCAATGATTATTCTTTGACTTGATGATCCAATTAAAAACATACAGCGTCTCCTGCTTTGAAATTTGATCTTCTCGAATCTCGGCTAAATGGATAATCTTTAATATAAATGTCTGCAAGGTCGGTTTCTTTTGCCTTTAGTGTGGAGTCGGTTATTTCTTCAGTGGTCCAAAGCTGGTTGACGTCTAATTGCACCGAGTTGAACTAAGTTGGCCGCCAAAAAATAATTTCAAAGAACCATTAACAGGATAAAATAATCAGTCTTTAATTAATCATGAGAAATCAAGCGGTCATCAACAAGAATATATAAAGAAAGCAATTATTAAAGTACAGAAAAAATTACTTAATTATTTAAAAAATAATATATTAGTATATGATATAGCTATAAGGATTTACCAAAGGGTTAATATAAGAAAAGACATAAATTGTTGATTCACATGTTGTTCACAAATGTAATATTGTGGAACAATTTATAATTTTTTTTTTTCAAAACGATAGATTTTTAATTAATAAACACAAATATTTATATACTAAAAGCATCCAGAGACAATCGAATCAATCAACTAATAACTTAATCAGACTAAAAAATATTTGGTATATGATCAATATTTTTGTTGTCTTGCAAGAGAAATGTACTAAAGTTTGTAAGATAAAATTGACTAATTAGTGATGTATTTCGAAATATATTATCAATATTCATATTGATGAAAAACCTTTTGTTTTTATTTTTTGCTTTTTGTTTTAAATGAAAATGGATATATAGGTTGTTTAATCATGTATGCGTTGGTAAGTACTCCATCTTCTTTTCAACTTGTCACCTGCAAGATAAGGGCACGTTGCATGTTCAGATCCTTGATTATTTATTTTGCAACATGGTTTTTATTTTTAAAAATGATATATTATTATAATACTATTGGATTATCTAAGGAAAAGGGAAAAAAATTGTGCAGGGGCTCAATTTTCAAAAATCTGAAATCAACCACTCATTTTTTTATTAAAAAAAAAAATAATGTTTTCATGCAAGAATTCATGTGGGATTTCAATTATACAACTTTCAAAACCTTCTTTTCAGGAATATTTTGGTATTGAGGACCTGAGGTAAATAATTAAACTGTATAATATTTATCATAGTCTAGTTAAAAAATATGATAAATTACCCAAAACTTGATTCCTGCAATTAATAAATTCTATGTGAATTGCGAAGAGTAGAGTTGACAAGCTTTTCGCTCGACTCATTGTTCGTCTAAAATTTGTTTAATTAATGAGTCGAGTCGATCTGGACTTGTTAAAATTTAAAAATATAATTTTTTATATAATTTTCTAAATTTTAATTTGTTAAGGTTCGAGTTAGCTGGTTATGGCCCGAGCTCTACTCGTTAAAATTGAGAAATAAATCGAGCTCGTTTATCAGGTCCATATGAGTTCAAGCTCTACTCGGCTCATTGACCCCTCTATTAAGGAAGCAATTCCAATAAATCAAATCATATTTTACTTTCATAATATTCAATAGCATTGTATGCAAGTTGATTCATACTTTTTCAAACACAAATGCAAAAATTTTATAATTAGATTTTATACTTAAAAACAACATAAATAATAAATGTGATATTTTGTAGCTATAAATATACACTGCTCTTAGAAAATTATGTCGAGACACACACACATATAGTTATATAAATAATGTGTAAGCGTATAAATTGTTGATTATAAAAGTGATATAATGTATAAAATCATATGACCTTATCACATGTATATTATGTCAAACTTTATATCAACCATTAAATTACTGTAACATGAGTGTGAAAACAAGTCGAGTCAAGTTCAAGTTAAACCATTTTATGAATCTAACTCAAACCTTACCTAAGCCAAATTATAAAAATTATACAATCACGATAATTTCTCTCTCTTCTAAAAAGAGTGTTGTAAACTTGTACCTATAAGTATTTATTAACGCAACTACAGTTTCCTTTCATAATTTTTTCTTGCCCATATTGAAATGGCCATCCAAATTCATTGAATTGTCTTCCGATCTATCAACGAAACTCCAATAATAACACAGTCCAAAAGTCATGAAAACACCACCATTTCAAAAGTTTCATTAGCAGTACCTTTCACTGAATGTACGTTTTTTTTTTCAACTTGTCAGAATTTTGTGGTCATCACTTATTTGATTTTTTTTTTTCGCCACTGTGTTTTTGGTCGATGATTTTTCTATTAAACAAATCTAAATATTAGATCAACATACTTTCATAAGTTATGAACTTATGATATTACATATTATAAGTATGTACATTTATTTGAAAAGTGGATTCATTCGATTTTTAAACGGCCTAACAGTGACATTTGTAGGTTTTAGCTAAAAATTAGCTTAAGAATTTTACATTAGTTTTAATTAAGTATGATTTTAGAATATAATTGCTTTTATTAGAATATAATAACATTCGTGAGTTGTCCCACATCGTTTATATAGAAAAAAATAGGCATAACTTATAAGCATAGTGGGCTACTTCTATTAATTGGCTTTGGGATGAAACTTCACTATAGTATATGCATGTCTTTCTCGAGGCTCGGCTCGAATTGGGAAAAAAAAAAACTCACACACATACTCGAGATCAACTCAAAAATTTCTATTAAGATGTGTCTAGTTATTGATATTTAGATAATTTTAATCAGATACTCTCAAACAACTCGTCAATCAGTCAAACTTACAATTTACAGGCTCGAGTTTGAGTTCGAATTCAAAATATTCAAGCTCGACTCAAATTCGAGTCGAGCTTTAAACTCGAGCACTCACAAGCTGCTTGTCACTCCCATGTATAATTGGCAAACACCTGTCATATAAATTAAACAGTTTTTTTAAAAAAGATTAGTACTTTTTATCCTATAAATTAATTCGAGAAACATTAAATTAACATAGTGCACATTAAATAAACAATATTAACTGGGCAGCGAATATTATAAAAAAGGAAGATCAATCTGGGATCATGTGCTCAAGGTATAGAAAATGGCTGTAATATTTTGCCTTTTTTTTTTTTCTTTTT